GATAATATAGTCTTGAATACTCTTAGCTACGAAACCTGCGCTATGCCCACAGGCCATCCTAATCAATCAGTAGGCCTCGTTCGCTCGCTTTAGCCAACGTTTAAAGCAGGCTGGAATTGTTTTGAAAGCTGGAATCTTCCTTTGTATAATATAATGCACAAATGCACACGGGCTGTTCTACGGTTACCTGACCGATAACTGACTGAGCTGAGCCTGAGTAAATGTGGCAAATGCCCCAAGCCCAATTTTTTGCGCACTAGGAAATTTGTAAAACCTAGAACCGGTTGGTTCAGTACCTACAATCGTTGTGGCCAATGTCAAAAAGCCCTTGTGCACATAGTTGTCCTGTTGCACGTGCTTTACAGCTATTATAGCCGAGCTGAAACAGATGTTGGTACTCCCTATAACCAGGCTCATCGGAACACAACCCTTTGAGATAGCAAATGTTAGCGCAGCGCTATGAATTTGTACTTTGAGGATTTTGTATACACGAGACTTTCCACTCTTTACTCGAAATATAAGCTGGACAAGGGGGTCTTAAAGGGAAATCACGTTAAAAGACTAACCTGCTATTAAGTTGTTATATAGGTTCTCACGAGAGCTTCCTTGATTAATTATTTAATCGTGGTACCAAGTATGGGTCAGGTGTTAGCGCTGCATTAACATGTACCATCCCGGCGGGTTGGAGTTGGACCCAGCCCCATTTTTCCCAGGCACCCTGTGGCCACGATGGTGGCGATCTATAGGCGTAATCTCGATGTCGGTATCCTCCAAACAGACGCCTATCGTCGCCCACATCGATACCTGTGGAAGCTTTTCTTCCACCTTCAAACGCGCGTCTTCCAAACGCGGAGGCAGGTAACGGCGTAAAGGCAATTAGACCGCCAGAAAGCATTTTACTTCACAGTTGCGCAGTCCCAAAATCCCAGAGTCGCGTAGTCGCAAAGTCGCAAGCTTAGCAGCAGAGGCGCAACATGACACAGGTCCTGCACCAGAATGCGGCGATGGCCATGTATTTCCCGCGGAGCGGGTCTAAACACGCCTCAAACCTCCTCCGCCAGGAATTACCACCGCAGCCAAAGAGTATAGGGCCGGTCTATGACACATTCAGCTTCAAAGAACCACTCTCGCCGTTTGATCAAAGAGCTCACCAGGAATATTTTACAGAACCTTCGGAGTCTGGCGAGGCTGTTCCGCCGCCTGTACCTCTTGATTTCGCAGACAGATATCTCATCCCAACTTTGGCACGCAATGAGCGCCTACGACTCACGCTTCTTTGGTATCATACAAACTCAATTGAGAAGGATGAACGTCTCTTGGCAGAGATAGACACCTTGGTCCGCAGCGCGCAGAAAGTCATCGGATGGGAGTATGCGGTTGCAGGCATCATCGACGAATCCACCTACCGAAGAGTGGGAACCTTTAACATGCCGCTGGTCACCGTGCCTCGCAGGGAAAGCACATGCTCTCACACTATTAATCAAAAGCTGGGTAGCGTTTTCATAATTACAGATATGTCTAAAGACTGGCGATTTCGAAACTCACCACATGTCGAGATCGGTGGTCTGAGAAGTTATGCCGGTGCGCCATTACGATTGATGGCGGATAACGGCGTAGAGATATCCTTGGGCGCTTTATGCGTTGCCTCTGACACCCCGCAGGAATCCTTGGGGCGAGTGAGTTCGCTCAAATTACGTCTTTCTATATATACGAATATCTTTAGGGAGACTTATTAATCATTGTTACAGGCCCAACGTGAATCTCTCATAAGCTTCGCAGAGCTGGTTAGTTCCGCTATCGCGAACCATACTCGACAAAGGCGCCTGAACAAAAGGCAAGAGATGTCAGATCTTCTTTCGGTCTTACGTTCAAGTGTCGATGATGAAGACCATGAAGAAAGGGCCATCCATATCATTCAACAAGCATACCCTGGAGCTCACATATCTCTCCAGGTTGCAAAAGACGGTCAGATACCTGTGGAAGGCCGGTCCGCTATACCGCTCTCGGAGGTTCAGGGAGGTCTTTGGGAAGATGCTGCACTTATCGAGCAAAGCATAATGACTTTGAACTTCAACGAGCTTCAGCCTACACAAACTGTTAGGGCGATTGTTGCACGCTGTGGAAGTACTGACAAGTATGTTGTTGTTTCAGGCCTCGATATTCATCATGTATTCGACAATTTTGATGCATGGTTTATATTTAAATCTGCATCTATCATAGCCGATGCCCTCCAAAACCGGCTGCTTCGGAAAGCTCTGGCGGCGAAGGAAGTTTTTCTGCGTGGAATAACTCACCAACTTCGTACACCTCTCCACGGCGTACTCAGCTCAACTGACCTACTCGCCGAGGAGCTTGCCGCACGCGGGCTACTATTACAGAGCGATTCAAACAGTGTCTCCGTTTCGCCTGCCACGTGTATCGGGACTATTCGAAATTCAGGACAGGAATTGATGAGAACAGTCAACAGTATATTAAAGTACAATACGTGGGCAGAAACTACTCACCGGACTCACCAAAGTCCGTACGATTTGAGTTGTCTCGAGGATGATATCCTGCCTGGGTTACTGTCACATGTTGTGCCAGAACAACTCTACGGTGTATCCATCGAATTTCGCAATGAGCTCACGTACACCCGTTATATATTCACAGATGCAGAGCTTTTGAAGGAATGTGTCAAGGAAGTCCTGTTGAACGCTATCCAGTCAGTTACTGGGCATTCCTCGGGGACTGTCACATTAACTATGTGCAACGCCGAAGACGGGACGAAACTATTCTTTGATATCGTGGACAACGGCATCGGAATTGGAATAGATCACCAAAGTTCAATTTTCCAGCCATTTTATAAGGTGGATAGCTTCAAGCTCGGGGCTGGGCTTGGACTAACTCTTGCTAGCCAAATTGCTTCTGGCATGCAAGGAACGGTTCGGCTGGTATCATCATCATTAGGGACAGGCTCACACTTTCGAATCGAATTCAAGAACTCTCTCCTCGATGTGCCTATTAATCCAGACGTTGCACTAGAAATTATACTGCAATATTTACCTCGAACATTCCATATAGCCGTTAGCGGCGTGGGGTACACCCATTTTGTTAACTATATAGCAAGGTACCTCGAAATCAACAAATTCCAGAGGAGCGACACTTCTGATGTCGGACTCGTTATTGCTGACTCTAACGTCGATGAGCTACGCAATGCTCATCCGTTAGCTATTATCATCGTACTGAAGAAACCAATGCCCAACGCCAAGATATTAGACAGGCCCGGGATCTTCACCATAAGCGGACCGTTACATAAAGAAATACTGAAGCAGATACTACTACAAGGGGACATTCTGTACCAGAACCTCACGAAAGAAGCTGCTCGTCAGCGACTAAGAAAGTTGGAACTGCAAGTGCCCGGCGTAGAGAGTGTCGATACAACAGCAAATGCAAAGATCGCCGCGCTTACTGTTGTTGACAGCTCGACATCCCACCATGACTGCAGCGACCGACGGGTTAAAGCTTTACTAGTCGACGACAACTCTATCAACCTTCAAATTCTACAGATGTTCTGTCATAAGCGTAGGATCCCATATGCTACAGCCGAGGACGGGATCAAGGCAATCGAGCAGTACACAAACGCAGCCAAAGCTGACGATCCATTTACCTTGGTGCTGATGGATCTCCAAATGCCACATTGCGATGGTTTAGAGGCAACTCGCGAGATCCGCTCATACGAACGGGAGCATGGCCTTCCTAGGTCGTTCGTTTTCATGGTAACGGGCCAGGACTGGGGTAAGGATAGGGTTGCCTCTGACGCTGCAGGTACAGATGAGTTCCTGATCAAGCCAATCAGCCCAGCAGTTTTGGACAAACACATCAGTAATCGCTTCACCACATATCGACCCGCTGGATGAAGAGAGATTAGACAGTGTTCTATTACAAGCAGTTAAAGAGGGTTGCTCTATAGTGTATTCGTTTTTATACGAGGACAACCGGAGGATAAGTAATTGGACTCTGACAGTCGAGAGTCTCAGGCCCTCCCCCGAATCCTCAACCGATATACTTATGATAGCTCCGAGCTCCATTAGCCATATCGTGGAAGCACAGCCCATTTAAGGATCGGTGGCTTTATGTACACCTGCCCTGAACATAGGCCTGCGAGGTTGCCCACCAAAGGTTACGATGCGCTGGTCGGGCAGCACTGCACTAACTCAGGGTCTTGAGCCGGCCTGCTCAATGGAGTACAAGAAAAGCACATGCCGGCTTCAGATAAATCCGACGAGATGGTAACGTAAGGTCACTGTTATTTGAAGCGGGACGTGTTCCAAGCACATGAGCTAGACTTTTGCGTCATGTTCTAGTGCAGAACAGCTGTGGCACCTTGATATCATTTCATAAATTCCAGGTGCGAAACAGACGACATGCTAGACATATTATGATGAAAATATAATATTGCGGTGTCAAATCTCTATTACTTTTACAACATCAGCAATCTGTTTTACAAATAGCTACCGTTAGCGCTCATTTAGTATGGCGAGCTATAGTGCACCTTGCATGCACGCAGAATCCGCTGCACTCCTTGGAATGGCTAACTTCAAGCCGCCCACTCGCTATTATCATACATAGTCATTGTATTCGCTCTAGGTTAACATTCTGAGACGGACGTGGTGAGTACCTGTGAACGATGTGGCCAGTACGTAATTAGCAGGGTCACCTTAAGGATATGGTAATGGAACTGAATATATAAGTTATGAGAACAAAATTACTTGTTAGTTAAACATTAAGTGGAAATAATTTTCTATATATGTAGTTAGGTATTAATTACGGGAGATGTAATAGAGTAGTGTCTATTATCTAAGTTCACTGTGCTCGTACTAACCTTAGATAACTTCGATTTTGGGAGTAGTAGTGATAGTCGGCAGTGGTGGGAATCGTAGAATGCTTATTATTACCGCCAAGAAATTATTGTGACTAAGATATATATATCCTAAAAATAAATCTATTCAATATCCGGAACCGGAATGGTAGCTCAGTGGTAGAGCAGCGGACTGCAGTTCCGAAGGTCGGGGGTTCAATTCCCCCTCGTTCCTCACATTTATTTTACTTTTTCCTCTCAGAATTCACTCCGTTAAGATAGCTATTCAAAATTAATACTTTTGTCTCTCATATACTTTTCTCTCCAAACCCATTTCAAGTTCTCCGCATTCAGACGGCTCACAGGAGGAAATAGAGTCCCCACCCTGATTCCTGGCCACCCCCCTGTTCTTGGCCACCCAAAAAAGCGGTCAATCCACTCGCACCACCACCTACACCAACACCTTCATGCAGCTTTTTTTTCATCAAAAAAAATCCAAAAAAAATCCAAAATCATGCCTAATCGCAACCGTAAAAAAAAACTGGCTTTAGCAATAACTGCGGTCTAAAATGGGACCTCCCAAAAAGCTGCAGCTAGAATATATAGCGTTTTAAAGGCTACTTTAGCTAACCGATTTTGTGGCGTTTAAAACTATTAAATATTTATAAAATCTTATTAACTACTAAATTTTAGTTTCGAAGACTATTTAGTTAAAGTTATTTTAAATTTTAAAAAAGTTAGCAAGGCTTTTTTATGCATAAAAATTAAACAAATAGCTTTTTATATGCTAAAAAAATAAGGTATATTAAAAAGCGTAAGAAAACACTAGATAAGTCGGTTTTTAAGACGGTATTTAAAACTAAAAATAAAGCTTTAAGCTTTTTTAAAAAGGTTTAAGGCTGTTAATAACCTTCCGGCCCGGATTAATCGGTTTTTTAACTATTATAAGATTTTTCAGCAAAAGCGTTATTATTAGCTTTGTTATATCGTTAATATAGACGAATACGGGTTTTAAGAAGGAGAGTTTTAAGATGGCAAAGTTATTGGGTTTGTTATAATTAAAGCTAGCTTTTGTTAATATTTTAAATTAACTAATTGGTCGTTTATTTTAGAAATAATTACGGCTGACGGAAAAGCTTTTATGCCGGTCGTTATTTTTTAAAGGGAATATTTTTAAAGGCAGTGGTTTTTAAAGGCTTTTTTAAAATGGAAGTATTTAACTATTCTTTCGGGTTGGTTTTTAGAGAAAATAGCTTTTGGCTGGTTAAAATAGGTTTATTTGCCGGAAACGCAGCCTAGGGACCCTTTTTAATAGCGTTTATTAGTTATTGATAAAAGTAATATTTATATTAACGGTTTTTTTATATACAAAGTTAAGGCTAATAAAGTGGATTTAATATTTTTGCCGTTTTATAGCTTTTACGTTAACTAGCCGGCTAATTTAGGGGTTTTTTCGGCTATAAAGACGTATTTTCGGGAAGAGATGGCCCCTTTTGCTTATTAGGCCGTTATAGCATTATTTGCCAAGTGCTAGTTTTTATAGTGTTATAAGGAAGCCCGTGAAAAGGGCTTAATAGGCCAGAATATAAAGGCTGGCTTTAGAAAAGCTGGAATATAGCTGCCGGACAGGCAAAAGCTTTTTAACTATTTAAAAATCGTTAGTTAATTAAACTGACCTACTATTTTAGACTTTTTTTTATAGCTACGGCTTTTTAGACTTAACGAAAAGATTTGGACGATTTTAAAAAGGTTTTAAAACTTTTAAAAATAAATGCTAGATTTGCAGACTAAATATAAAAGTATTGCTAGCTTAATAGCTTTATTTAAAAAAGCCGGCAAAGCTTTTAACTAATTAGCTGGTAAAATAGCTATTTTAAAACGGAAGGTTAAAAACTTTAAAGGCTAATTTAAAGCTTTGCGGCTAAAACGCCGGAAACGAGTAAAAAAAGAGCTAAACGAGCCATTTTATTTAATAAAAGCTATTAAAAAGGCCAGACAGGCTGCCGAAGCCAAAAGCTAAAGCCAAGGTCTAAATCTAAAGCTAATAGCCAAGCTAAAAGCTAAGCTAACGCTGGCAGAAGCACCAAGCGGTCAATTTACTAAAAATAACACGCAGACCAAAATGGAGGATATAATGTTTACTTTTAGCTTAGATAATAGCTAATAGACCTATTTGGTGATGTGTTATTCACTTTCACAATTAATCGCTGTGCCAAGCGTTCAGGGTGGCCAAGAACAGGGGGGTGGCCAGGAATCAGGGTGGGGACTCTACACTCTAGCTATAGTCCATCGCTTCGGGTCATCTTCAAAATAATAATTTCATGGTGTGGGTAACGTTTATCATTGCTCAGTTTTAAATGTTGGTTTGAGTATAATAATTATTGGAATAGAATTCCATATGCTGGAGATACTTGCTGCAGGTTAAGTGAATGAGTTGCTCAGTAATGAAGCCTCAGTTATATAGCTTAAGCTACATAATAGACATATCTGTTGAGTTATCAGTTTCACGCAGTCAGTCAACCATAATTATCATTTTGAATTGATTCTTATGATAATCTTCATGGAATCGGCTTTGTGAATTGCTCCGTGACTCAGAGCATTATAATGGCTCAGCTGAGACACGACCGTTATCGCGGAACATAGTGTGGTGATTTCTTCTAAGCCATCTAAACCTGTCTATCGCCAGAGTTGTCCTCCGCGTCCTGAATCTTCCTGACTTTCACGGGCTGCCAATCCTCCCAGATTCCATCATCTGTTCCAAACTCTGCATTCAACGCTTCAGCCGAAACGTGGTTTCCACGTCCAACATGCATACCCATTCTATCAATTTTGCCGTCGTCACGCGGGCGGAGAAAGAATTGAAACTCCTCAACGACCGATATATCCCCACCTCGCTCAGCCAGCAGCCTGAGCATCTCAAATCGCTGGTACACAATGGCCGTGATGACCGGCGTCTGTGAGCCATCGTCGCGTTTATTCACATCGAGCCCCTGGTCTAGCAACGCCTGCGCGATTTTCAGGCTTTGGCCTTCTGCTGCAACGTGAAGTAGGTTTTCATCCTCGTCTATGTGCGCTCCAGCGCCGAGCAGCATGTCCACGCTTGCCTCGCGTCCATTCTTGACTGCCATTCTCAACACAGAGCCCTCGGGTCCCACGACATTCGCGTCCGCACCAGCGTCGAGTATGACCTCTAGAATTTCGGGATTGTCTCCCGCCGCGACGCAGAAATGCAGCGGCGAATACCCCTCCACCGTCGTCGCATTTACATCTGCACCGCCTTGTACTAGTACATTCGCCATATCCGCACTGCTCTGAAACGCGCTGTGATGGATCGGCCGATGCCCTCTGCGTGGGAAAATCCGGTTTGGATCGGCGCCGGATGTCAACAACAACGCCACTGCATCCAGTTCCTCGGCATCAACGGCGGCGTGGAGAGGAGTGCACCCATCGTTTCTCTCCACGTCAACAGGAATAGAGTTCTGCTCGAGGAGTATAGATAAAAACTCGAGCTCGCCAAATTGGGCCGCGAAGTGTAGCATGGTGCTTCCATCTTCGTACTTTAGGCGGGTATAGTCAGAGGGGATTTGCATTATGCCCCCTTTTGAAGTTATCGTGATAAGGCTCGAATCCGGGACACTCGACGGCATTTTTTGATTTGGGTTGCTCTTATGCTGTATATTGCTAGATGGAAGCTCACCTGCAAGATGCTTCATGCTCGGCGGCTTGGAACTGGGCAACGAATTCAACTCGTTGAGACTCAAAGAAGCAATGTCAGGCTCATTCGAAGTAGCTTCGGGCTTCATAACAGGCGTAGCATTGTAGATGTCGTCTTGGATAGCCTTTCCCTTCTCCTTATCACTCTCAACTTCTTGCTCTCCCCTGTAGAGCTTTGGTCTTTCGTATGTATACTCGCCCGTCTCGCCATTCATATATAGGGCTGTGTAACCACTAGGTTCGTTCTTATCTTCTGTCAGACTGAGACAGCGCCAACTGGGCGGAAGACGCCATTGATGCTTTTTGAGATTAGCGATAGCCTTGATCTTTTGTAAATCTGGGGCTGATTTTTTCTCCACCTCTCTACGCTTCGTCATCTCCTTTTGCTGAAGTTCGGACCGCATGACGTTATAAAAAGCTTCGTCTCTAGTTTGCGTGTCTGCTAATATTTCGTGTCTAGTCTTTGGCAATGGGGGTTTCGGTCTTGGCCTGTCGATGACCGGTTTCGGCCAACTCCCTACCATCATTTCGCCACCTTTGAGAAGCATATTGCTAATAATGCCAGCTTCTCGACTGTCCGCACCCACCACTTTCTTGATACTATCAAACACTATGCTCTGTCCTCCTCTCTCTACGAGCAATCTCCTGATATGTTCCAGGTCCTCAGTCCACTTCTGTGTTTCTAAATACCCTCCATGTACAATCTCAGGTGGAATATCCAGCCCGCTGAGCCTGAGAGACACCATGTCAAGGGCAGTCACACTGTCTTTTTTCGGGTCGAAGATGTGTGTAGGAAGCTCTTCCGGTATTTCGCCAAAGTAATCCATTCCGATATTTGGATCGAACTTTCTATCGAGGAGCAGCTTTACTACCTCGACATGCCCGCTCCACACTGAATGATGCAGTATAGTTTTGCCTTCCCACCTTTCAGTAGATAATCTGTTGCCCAGATTGTCAATACTAAGAAGTAGGGTGAGCAACTCAATATCAAGACGTCGATGAGCGTTAGAGAACGGTCTTGGTGACTGAACTATTTGGTACCAGGCCGGCATGCCGGACGGCCCATGTAGGTGAGTCCCGTTATGTTTTGCTAGCCACTGAAAGCTGTCAACTAGCTCTAGGCTTCGCTGATAGGGCCATGCGATAAGAAGATAAAAGAAAATCGACAACCCGGTGTCAGAGTCGCGACGTAGCAGCTCCTTCAGTTCCTCCGCAGAGCAATGGTTTGATATCGCATTTGCTGTTCCCAAATGGCCCTCGAGCAGGGCGCGAGAAATGGGGGTCTGTCCATGTTTGTTTCTGGATGTGACATCGGCCCCGCATCGAAGAAGCACTTCAACGAAGGGAGTACCGCCTTTGTTAGCGCACACCTTGTGGAGAATCGTCGTACCCGAGTCATCTTGGGCTACATCCGAGGCGAGAATTGGAAATTTCTGCAGCAGGTACTCAAAGGAGTGGATCGAGTTGAACATGGCGCAAATAGCTGGCGCTGTTATATCAGAGCGGGCCGCATTTGGGTCA